CCCCCCAGCCTCCCCCCACCTCACCCCCCTCCCAGAACCACCTGCAGCAGCCACAGGCTGAGACAGAGGACGGCTTTAGTTTGAAGCCTGAAACAGTAGAAAAAAAAGTCCAAAGAGAGGCTGAGATCACAGGCCTGACAGGGACGGCAGAGGGAGGAGCAGGAGGGCAGTGAGGAGGTGCAGGGAGGGAGCAGAGAGTGGAGAGGAGGCCTGGCTCTGGACCATCATGCCAGTTCCTAGGGCAGAAGGAGAGAGAAGGTTCAGGAACAATGAACACTTGATGCTGGTGCTGATCTGAAGGACCTGAAGAGTTTGTCTTTAAACATGCTCAACAATTAACACTGATTTATTAATTAGGAATTATTAACTTAATTATTGTTCATTTAAAGTCAGTTGCTCACAAACCATGGGTCAAATAGACTGTTATGGTCAGGGTGTTAATGTAATTTAATAAAACTTTTTAATTATTTTTTAAATTATGTTACACATTAATTATAACAACTTTAATGAGTTAATTAGGAAATAATTATCATTTGGCTGAAACTGTGGTCTACTAGAGTGTATGGGAGGGGGTGGGGTGTGTGTGTGTGTGTGGGGGGGGGGTTGAATAAAGTATATTTTTATTCTGACAACCTGCATGTTCTTAACAATGAGTATAAAGCCCTGGTTGCAAAATATAATTGAATTATTCTGAGGGATTAGATTGGTGTGTGTTTGTGTGTGTGTTTGGAAGTAGTTCAACATATTCAGTTCATCTCTCTTCAGTATTTAAAACAAATTGATCTTCGGGACAGGGGGTGGGGGGAAATGAGGGGTGACTTTAATGGGTGAGACTGTATTAGGTTCAACGTCACACACACAGAACCACTCACCAGAAACTATGTCAGAATGGAGTGTTGAACAACCACTGGAAAAAAGGTGACATTTACTGTAGCAGGTACAAAGACACACTCTCTCTCTCTCGCTCTCTCTCTCTCACACACACACACACACTACTGACAAAGAGCGTAAATCTTTGTCCTGTGACTGTTGAATATCTGCTGACATCTTAATCATCAACACCATAAACGATCAATATTCATAAACCCATAATACAGAGACAGACATGCAGTACTCTCAGTACACAGAATATTTGTTCTGATACTTGGAATCTCTTAAAAGACGGAGCTGCTGCTCAGAGCTCATGTCTCAGGTCAGTGACTGTGACGTTGCAGAAACTGTGTCTGTGTCAGATTAACTCCTTCATCAGTTAATCTGAGGGATTTTTTCTTTCAGTTTCTCACCTGTGTCCCTGGACACGATGATCTCATGTGCCGGCCCGTCTCCACCCTCTCCCCAGGTCCGGATCTCCAACACAACGTAGCTGTTGTCTTTAGGCAGCGGCAGGTTCACTGACGTCTTTGTCTTGTCCAGAACCTTCAGCGCTGTCTGGCCCTCGTGTTTGTACAACACCTAACACACACACACACACACAGCATTATAATAATCATTTTGTAGTAATAGGAGAAAGTTGGTTTAAGTAGGAGAAACATGAAGCAAATTACTACTGAGCTAACATGAAACATTTCAACTTTTCAACATTTAGATGACCATTTATATCTTATTAAAAAATAAAACCTGGGCATGAGTCAATAATTTAATACAAAGCATGGACAGAGAGACAGACAGGCAGACAGACAGACTCACCTTGTAGCCCAGAATGGACGACTCGTTGTGCATGGCCTTCACATGGTCCCACCTCAGCGTCACCCAGGAGGGGTCTGTTTTCCAGGACACGTTTCCTGGAGGACGATTGGGAGCTGAAGACAAAGACAAGTTTTTATTTGAATGACTTCGGTGTTCAGTAACAGGATGATTCAAACATCTAAAAAAAAGACAAGTACACTTAAAAATTATGCAATGAACAGTCACTTAAAATGTTGAATAAAAAACAACAGACTATACCAATATTAATAAAATGATAGCAGTTACAGTCACAAGTTCATTGGAATCTTTTTTTAAATGTCAGATGGAAAAATGATAAAATCAAGAGGTTAATTACATGTTAGTCCACATTATAAGACTTTTATTGGTATAATAAACAGGTGTTTTGAAAAGAAAAAAAAACATTTCATTAAAGATCTAGTAAAACGTAAAGGTACAGCCTGCAGTTTTATTGAACTGTTATGGTACGTTGTTCTGTAACTCCTCTGTCGTTTCTCTGTCCTCACCTGGTGAAGACATGTGGAGCCTCAGGCTCACGAGGTTCTAATGACCAGCTCTCGCTGCTGATGAGAACAACGAGTGGATCATTTGTCACACTGTTCTATGGAGACCAGTTCTTCTTTAAGAGACAACAGTGACCTGACAGGTTCTTGTGAGAAGAACTGATACTGTGTCCGGTAGGACTGGACTGTCTCTGAGAGGGACAGGACGCTGTGCGGTGTCTGTTTCAGCCTGTAGCTACAGTCAACATCAATGTGTCAACAGCAACAATTCCAGCCATTGTTGGTTCAACGTGTAACAGAACCTCACAGTGTTTACGTAATCAACCGTATGAAACACATTCATGTTGATCCCAGAACCAAAATGTGACATCACAGCAGTGTGGTCCAATTAGGACAAGGGAAAGAAGATTGCTTTAACACAGACACAAACACACACAAAGGTACAGAGCAGTGAAGCTGCAGTGAGGAAAACACAACCCTGTGATCAGAGACTGTGGAGACAGAGCCAGTCTTTGACTTTGAGAGGACCAGAGATTTACTAAGAGCTTTTACTGTCTGAAAACATGCTGGTCTTACGTGGTTTCCTGGTGGTGACAGTAGCACGGGGGGACAGAGGTCCAGTGCCTGCACTGTTGTAGGCCAGAACTGCAACATGGTATCGAGTGCTGGGCCTCAGTCCAGATACTCTGGCTGTTGTTTCTAGTCCAGTCGTTCTCACCCGGTCTGCTGCCGCCTCTCGCTCGTGCTGCCGCCAGTAGCGGATCTGAGGACATATTGACTGATGAGATCTGAACATCACACTGTCAATAAAAGTCAAGTGCTCAGCAGGTCAGCCACATCTTTCCTGTGACTCCTAACCTCGTATCCTCTGAGGATTCCTGTGGTGCTGAGTTGATGGACAGAATCCCAGGACACCTGGATGTCAAAGGCTGTCAGTGCCGTGGCGTTAATACTGGACGGTCCCACTGTAGGTTCTGGGGAGAGTGGGGGTGCAGTGTGGGTAGAACATACAGCTTACACTTTGAACTGAATGGGATGGTTTAGAGTTGTTGCCGTGGTGCCCCCTAGTGTTGATATAGAGTATTGTAGATCAAGTTTTTAATGGCCACAGGTTAATGTTATGTTTTATTAAAATGAAAAAAAAAGGAAAATAAAACATTGTCTTTTTTTATACTTAAGCGCCAAAGGTACTGTGTTCCTGAATAGTAGAAATACAAGAGCAAATAATCAAGCAAAAGTCACTGGAAACATTTGACATTCATTACATTTTTCTAGAAAATGTTGACTCAGTTTCATTTGCCCAGCCCTGTGGCCTGTTTCCGTGTCTCACAGAGTTTGTTCCATTTGTTTCACATGCTTGTGCTCTAGCTGTGTCTCACCTTCCTCTGCAGAGTGAACCACTGCGATCTGACTAAAGGGACCTTCTCCTCTACGGTTGTATGCTTTGATCTTCACCTCAAAGGGACTGTAGGGGGTTACTGTCTCATTGTAGTAGACATAACGAGACGACTCCACATGAGGAATGCGCACCATCGTCCACGATGACGCGTCTTTCTTTCTGAAGCCCAGGACGTAACCAAAGTTGTCCCCGTTCTGATACTCTCTGGCCATTGGCTGCAGGGAATCAGGAGTGAGGAGACAGAGATGTGAGGGTCCACAGAAACAAAGGGGTCAGATCCTTATTTTCTAACTACTATTCAACACACGGTTATCACCAGAAGATTGATTGAATAAAATTGTTTTCAGTTCTGTGGAATATTCTACACATTTCACTACAGAAATAAAGGTTTTCTGTCACTTTATGTGAAGTGACTGTAGATGAAGATCAGATGTACAATTGCTGCTTAACACTGAATGCAAACCTAAGGTCAGCGGTGCACTACAGGGTCACAAAGAGTGTACAAAAAAACCCACACAATTATAAGAAATGGTTCTACATCTAATTCAGTCACATGGTACAGCCACGAGGAATAATTCTTCCACTCACCGTCCAGGTAACTATAAGCTCATTACGGTTGCCTCCCCCTCCTGAGAGTCCACTGGGGGCCACGGTGGGAGCTGAGGGACAAGGACATACGTACATTCATTGTCAGTATAACAGCTGGAGACAATCCCAGCAGTCTCCAGTAGAGGTCACCACTCACCTAAAAGGTAATGGTGCCATGCTCAGCGCACCAAAGCTACACCTAGTGGATTCGAGCCTACAACCCTCTGGTCACAAGTCTGATTCCTCAACCACCAAGTCACCACTGCCCCATTTGAAGCTACAAATAAGTCAATGTTGGGGGGTTTGTGGTGGTGGTGGAAGAAGACTGCTGTGAAGCAAAGACCCTGACCACCAGGTGGCCCAACATATACCTCAGATGCTGCACTGAACTCTGTGTCCTCACCTGCTTGCTGTGTGCGTATTATCTGTGAGGGCATGCTGGGTTCTCCACTGCCCAGGATGTTGCTGGCGATGACCTGGAACTCATAATCCATCCAGGGAATCAGTCCCATCACACGAGCAGACTCTGCGTTTCCCTCAATGTTTACAGGGTCTGGAGAATGGAGGAGAGTCAGGACCAAATATCACTTCAGAGATACACACACACACACTCACGCACACACACCTGTCATGATCTTCTTCCACTGTGAGGACAGTGACGACCGTCCCCTGATTATATATCTTCCAATGGGACTGTGGTTATCGTAGCCACGGCTCCACCTCAGCTCCACTGAGGTCTCAGCTACATTCTTCACAAGCAAACCTCCAGGTGGTCCTGGGGGTCCTGGAAAAGGGGGAGGGAATTTAGTCAGGTCAATATTCAATAGTTGATAACAAATCTTTTTCAGCAGAGAGGGGATAACTCAAGACCAAAACCTATTATGACAATGTAGCATTTTTAAACCCTCTGGATGTTTCTATAAAGAGGTCAGCTAACAGGGAGCAGGTTAGGGATCAGTTCCCACCTCGAACCACGAGTTTGGCATAGGCTGTAGCGCTGTCCACCACAGTCTGAGCTGTGCAGCTGTAGACCCCCGCCTGACTCAGCTGAGCATTGACTATCAGCAGATCACCAATGTTTTCCTTCTGAAATGATAAAACACAGAAGGAAGGAGAGAAAGGAACTCTGAGTCAGCTGTTTCACTCATTAACGTCAACACGACTGGAGCCTGAAATTCCCCAAACTCACCCCCTCCACCCGGTGGTACGGTCCTGCAGAATTCTCCATATCCAGCAGGACCCCGTTGAGGGTCCAGGTGAAGGTCAGGTCCATGGTGGGGTCATGTGATGCATGACACTGCAGTGTCACATTCTCCCCTTGGTTTATGTCAGCGTTTGAAGGAGCCAATGTGATTTTAGTGGCATCTGCAACGACATTGAGGGAAAAGAATTAAGGATGGTCAAGTCTTGAAAGTGTATCTATCCATAGAAAAAGAAAAAACACGTTCAGATTTGTTGTAAGATGTCGCTTCGTTTTCCTTTACACAAACTCCTCCTGTCAGGTATTTTATAATAGAATTAAAAATACAACAAAGAAGTGGAAGGAGTGACAAACACAGTGACCACTTGTGGCCGACTTTGATATTACAGCTGTCACATTCTTTTTGTAGTAACAACTTTATTTGTAGGACAACAATATTGTCTACTGGTGGACCGCGTAATTGTTGACTATGTTGCATGTATGTGAGTATTTACTGTTTTGTTTTCTGTTCACAGTGTGCCTGAAGTGTACAGTCAAGTACTTTTGTACATATACTGTACTGTACTCCGTACCTCTGACAGACAGGTGTCCGGTGCTGTTGGCTTTTCCCAGGTAGTTTTCAGCAAAGCATGTGTACTTCCCTTCATCAGCTCGGCTGATGTTATAAATCCACAGGATTCCATCTGAAGTCACCGTGACTCTGAGAAGACAAGGCACGCGGAGGGTGAAGTGACTCTACTCACAACACAACACACGCGGAGCAGCAGGCAAAACAACAACAACAACAACAACAACAACAAAAATCAATAACAAGTCTTTTAGTTTCAGACTCCACAAATCCAGGATGTGATGTAGTTGTGTGTCCCTGAGGACACAGTATTAGCAGGCACTGGTCCCAGCTGATGAAGTGTCAACATTCACACAGCATAAATCTAGTGTGTGAACACTTTTTTGGAGGTGATGATATTGTGCCAAAAGCTGATGCAGATGATAGAAGGATATGATCACGGACACCACATCGACCCAGCTGGTGACGTACCTGCTGCTGTTGGTCAGCAGCTCTGTGCCACGACTCCAGAACAGACTGGGCTTCGGTGCAGCTCGAGGACGGCACTCGATCATCACCTGACCTCCTCTGGCTGCTGGAATCAACCTGCGGACCGGGTTCTGTCTGAAGTCTGGGGCTTGAACTGGAAGATGGTGAGAGGTGTACGTGAGAGGAAGGACAGAGGATAATATAATAGAGTTATACTAGAAGAGCACATCCACCTACCTTGAACTCTGAGCTCAGCAGAGGAGTAGATGGTGCCGTGCTTGTTTTCAGCCACACACTGGTACATTCCAGAATCTTCCAGAGCCAAATTACTAATCTTAAGACGAGCACCGTTTACCTCCACTCGGTCCTTTGGTTGAGGAAAACACATACATACGAGATATATGTTCTTTTGCTCAATTAACGTGCCCTTTCTGGATATTAAGTATTGATTATATAACACTTATCCTGTAAAACTGGACAAATATTTTGCCTCAAAAATAAGAAAAATATTCACAGTTGTCATTTATTCTCCGGTGATTATAAGGCATGCAACCCTTTAAAGAAAAATATTACATAAAACTATGAAACTGAGGAGAAAAAACAACGGTTGAAATAAATCACACTGTGCCTCCTTTACGTTTTCCCTGAAACAGCAAACTAACAATATACTCGTGAAGCTAAGTCGTCTTTACACCCTGACTATTAGACTGTATAAAATAATAAACAAATTACCTGGTGTTAATGGGAAGGTGATATTTAAATCTTTACTATTCAAACATGTTTTTTTTTTCATTTCATTCATTTATTATTCTTTTAATTACTGCGCGTTTCCATGTTCGCTGTTAGCGAATGTTAGCTTCTAGTTAGTGCCGCGGAAAATCCGTTTTAACGTCGCGCTGGCTGCGACAAAAAACTGTGAGGTTAATCATTCTATGTTGCGCCCCACGGTAGAACATGAATAAACCGTTGTTGTGTTACCTGTGTGCTGAGAGACTGTCCATTTCGAAGCCAACGGATGGAAGGACGGGGTTTCCCAGCAGCCACACAGCTCCAGTGCAGCTGTGAACTGATCTCCACCTCAGAGTCACTCATCACCTGTAACCACTCTGGCTGAGCTGGAGGTGCAGAGGAGACACATCGGTGTAGAAACTGCCGTCTGGCCCCGTGGCCGGTTCAATCATTTGGACAGTTTTAATGTGAGAAATGTATTTTATATTTGTTTGAAACACTGCAAACTTAGCCCTTCCCTGTGTTTTTGCCATTAGAAAATAAAGCTTTATATTTTTAAATAAACCAACTGTAGAATATTCTGCTAATCGCCATATAATATTTTCAGCTCCCTGTTTGTTCCAGGACGCTGCAGACTTTTTTTTTGTTGTTGCCAGAATTAACTTTCTGTGTAAGGTTTGTATTGTTGCTAAACCTCGCAACTTCTTTCCTAAGTTTCATGTATAAACTGCTAATGCTCTGAGCTGTGGTCTTATAAATGTCTTAAATGTGCACCGCTTGTACTGATTGAGATATTTTTTCTATGCCAAATATACATTTTACACTGGAAGGAGGGCCTTGTTTTCCTTACCTTGAACATTGATGCGTCCCTGATAAGTATCACTTCCTTCTGAGTTATAAGCTTCACACTCGTAAACACCCTCATCGTCGAAAGACAAATCCTGCAGGATGAGAGTGGGACTTTCTGCCGAGGACCCAGCCTTGGATGGCATCAGTCCGTCCACCTTCCTCCATCTCAGTTTTGGTACTGGACTGTGAGACAAAGGCAGAGGAGACAGATCGAAGTCAGGGCCTGATTTAATTATCCTGGTACAAAATGTCAATCAGAATGATGGTGGAGTGAGATCTTACTTTCCATAAGCAAAGCATTCTAACTGTGCAGTGAGTCCTGCCAGGGCGTAGGTCTCTGCTGGGAACCGCACTTTGATGTTGGGAGCCGACTTCCTGGGATTAGCTGAAAATAAAATGTAATAAAGACATTAATCTCTGTTTCATTCTGTGAACAGTCAGGTCGGTCATTACTGCTTATTATGATAAGCACTCTTAAAAAGGGCACTTGAGGAAGATGAGGTGTTTAAAGGTCGACTGACATCAGTCAGTTCTCAGTCCTGTGGAGTCAGAGGTCAGTGTTCTGACAGACTCCATCCACCATTCCCTGTTGGGTTGGCATTTACCCTGATGGACAGTGACGTTCAAACGATGCACTGTTTGATGTTCTGTCCAAAGGTTTCAATTTATTATGTGAAAGCCGCAGCTGTTTGTTCTAGCACTTTCAGAGAAAATCTTTGATCCAAAAAGGTTACTCTGGCAAACAGGTCTTAAAGCTACAGTAGCCCAACATCCCTGCAGAATAACCCACTCAGTCATTTGAGATGAATCCTCTCCTCAGAAAGTATTTAGTTCTACAAACATCAGCAAGGTTTCTTGCTTATCTCTGTATTTTCCTTTCTGTGCTGACAGTGATGAAAACTTCCCTTTAGATTAAATATTTACCAGTTGAAAACATCCCCAGTAGGTGGCAGTAATGACACTCATGAGATTCAGAACTGAAAGAGGATGCCCACAGTATTAGATGACGTGAACAGAACGGAAACCACTAACATGCTAGCTAGCCGCTAAAACACCATTAACAAGCTAGTTGCCAGTGGAACTCAGGCTAAGCTATATATGCCTACAAAAGGACGGCTCGTTCTCCTACCATCAGGCATCACAGTGAGCTGGTTAGCTTTGCTGAAGGTGCTCTTGGTGCTGATGTCCATGCTGATGGTGGTGAAGCAGAAGTAGTTCCCTGTGTCGTTTGGTTCTGTTTTGGCCAAATACAGGTTCCCCGTGTTCTGAGACACAAAGAGTCTGCTGTCGTTCTTCTTGATGAAGTTGGGGAAGTCGTTGATGAACCAGCGGTAGGACAGAGCTGGGAGAAGTGCAAATGCCAAAAGTAGCCAAAAGTGAGAATTTATTATGTACTTATTTTAAGTAAGTGTTTTCATTTTAGTTGCTTCTGAATGTTGAGCTGCAGCGTCAGAGGTTCACCTGGATAATGTGGAGGTGGCTGACAGGCCAGAAAAGTCCCAACACCCTCATATGCAGTCTGTGGACTCCTGCTGTCTGGAGGATAGTCATGGAGGTCTGAGGAGACACACAGATGTCAGCAAAATGTGTCCGACAATAAACGCCGATACAAAAACAAACATTTATTATGAAGGCTTAAGATTTATAACTAATGTTAAATCTGAGACACATCATTGTTTTACACTGTCTAAAACAGATAATTGTTCAAATCCCTCATCCTCCTCACAGCCAAATTTAAGGTTTGCTGCTCTGCTGATGATGATTCCACAGCGGTTGATGGCCAAACACTGGTACGAGCCGGTGTCTCGAGCAGACTCAGGGCTGCTGATCACCAGGTTTCCTGCAACCAGTGTGTAACGGAGGTCCAAACCCAGCGGAACATCAGTACCGTTCACGAGCCATCTAGGAGACAAATACCAGAAGACAGCCATGACAATCAGAATCAACAGCATGGGCCACATCAAGGACACGTGTGTGTGTGTGTGTGTGTGTCCATCACACACCTGTAAGAAGCAGCTGGACTGGCTCTGGCCTGACAGCTGAGGGTAACCTTGCCTTCACTCAGACCCTCAGGGTAAATCAAACCATTTGGCTGTTGTTCAAACACTGGTCCGCTGTCATGACCTGCTACACACACATCACCACCTGCAAACACGCCCCACAGTGGTTACTGAGAGTAATATCAACTAATACACTTATGTTAGACCCATCCATCCATCCATCCATCCATCCATCCATCCATCCGTCCATCCATCCAGACACCAGAGTCATTTTAAAACAGAACTCCAGCAGATACAGGCACATGTTGAGTTCTTTTATTCTTTGTCTCGGTGAAGTAGAGAGAAAGAATAGAATGAATTCAAACAGTAACAGTAGAATATCATGTGCAGAGAGTGAAGTCATAGCATGAACATGACTCCACTCTCTCCTTCTTAGTCTTCCCCTCATCAGTCACTGCAGATCACCATTCATCAGACTGGTGCCTGGATTCCCTGACGAGGCCCAGTGGAGACACAGGATCAGGGCCTTCTGGAGGAAAATCGAGATCTTCTGACTCAGTGCTTAAAACAACTCTCATGAAATTTTAATGAGGAGCCACACCCACACATTTAAGACTGTCCAAGTCTCTCACACATACAGTGAAGAGGAGTTTGATTGTAATTAAAAAAAAAGTAACCAATAAAATAGTGAGAACTGCAGCTGCAGGAGTGAAAACAATGAAGACATTGTTTTACGTGTAATAAGTAAATAATTAATAAAACATATAAAAATTCAACTGGGCCTTGGAGAAGACAGTTCAGGATATTCTAACTCCTGAACCTGCAGCTGATGTTCAGCTCAGTGTGAACCTCACCTGCAGCTTCGTTCAGGAGCACTGACCCCAGCAGCAGCAGACACAACATGCCCTTCATGATCTGGATCAGGAACTACTGGGTCTGGTAGAAGAAATGGAAGAGGAGGTCACGACCTTTGACCTGTGCAGGAGACACAAGAGGACAACTAACATGAGAAACCTCTCCACCTGAGCTCCACAGAGGGATTTTAATTACAAAACACTTTCATCTTTCAATCAACACATCATCAAACCAACAGATGACTAGAGCTGCACTCATAGACTGATACTGTAGTAATGTACACTCCCAAACGCCTGGAGAGTAGGAATATAGTTTCTTTGTCAAATGAGTGGTCTTCAAGAAAGAGAAAAAACATGTTAAATATAGTATAAAGTACTCATTATAAAAGACATTTAACTGTACTAAAAATACATTTTATTTAAAACAAATGTAAATGTCAAAATACTGAACACAAACACTGTTGTCAAGGTTCTGGTTGAACTCACTCACAAACCCCTTTCAATAATGGGATTTGAACCTGCAACCCTATAATGCAAGCCCATGTAGATTAATAAACCACATGGGAACATGACCTGAGTGATGAACCAATAATAACACACTGAAAAGTCTGGAGTTCTTCAGAAGACACCTTTGATTTGTCTTTTCTTCAGTCAGAATGACTGATTATAATCGTCTGTACTTCAGATGATTACATGAAGGCCCAGAGGGGCAGACATCACTGTCTCTGCACAGAATGAAAGCAGTGAGAAGAAGAGCTGAGGAAGAAAAACAGAGCGATGAGACAAAAACAACTGAGAGTGAGAGACAGAAACAGAGATCAGACGTGAAACTGGTTTATGAAGTAATGGAGTGAAGGAGGTGAAGAGCAGTGAAGATCACATGACACATTCAGCTCAGAGCTCAGAGCTGCTCCGTGTCAGCGCTGGGACCATGCCGTTATCTAAAATGTTGTCAATGCGATTCAAAACAGATCAGTTCACTTCCCCTGATCAGTGGTTGAACAGCCTGCTGGGCTTTAATTACAATGATTACTGGTTGGCTCCGTTTCTCACAAGCAGAATGTACTGTTGACAAACTGTCATCAATCCTGGCTGACAGCCTTATGGCTACAGAGGAGGTCTTACATCTTCCCACTTTACCTCCTATAATTTGGATGCTAAACTATTTTTGCTCTTCATTGTATCTGCCTAGACAGAAATACTCAGTGCGATGAAGTAGTATGAGAGTAGAAGCTGTTAATGTAGTACCTCTAAAGCCCCCACTACTCTGCTCCCTAACGTCTGTATCCACTGTGTAGGAGAATGTAAGGAAATGCATCAGAGGAAGTAGTTTGTCATTAATGAAACATTTTCCATCCCACAGGTTGTGATTGGTTCCAGTCAGTAAAGGTGAAGGCATGAACAGACGGACAGTATCCTGCAACACGTGGCAGCAGTCATCAGACCACAACACATTCACATTCTCAAAATATCAATACAAGAGCAACGCAACACAAACATCTTTCTAACACTGCACCAATCATTTGAAACACAGTTAATGTATATATATTTTAAAAACAAATTCATTTTTCATCTCTTCACAGGCCAAGAATAATTGCATTTCCAAAATATGTCATCAAGTATTTTGGTCCTTATTGTGACTATACTTATAACCTCCAGAGGGAGCAGCATTGAGAGGTTGTAAAATGTAGACCTGTTCCACACCAATCATACCCAGAATGAAGCCATTGTGTGGTGGACATGAGGTCATTCCTGGGGTCATTCTGTTCTGGTTCCCGCGTTCCCTTTAGAATCCACTTCAAAGCTCTACTATTGTCCATGAACCTCTCAGTGATGTCACTCTATAAAGCTCTGGTCTATTCATCACTATCTGGTCCTGGGTCACTTAGGTCTTCACCAGTCCTCACTCAGAAACTGGTCAAGAGTTCCAACTCATTCACCAGTCCTCACTCAGAAACTGGTCTTCTCAGTCTGAGTCCTTAATTACCCCGGAGGACTCAAGAGTTCCAACTCGGGTTTTTCTCCAGGACTAACATTTTCAAATCCAAATATGTTCCAGTTTTGGTTCCAGTTTCTCCAGTTTCCTCAACAGTCAACAAACGTGCAGATTGGATATTAAGTTATTGTTCACTCTGCAGTGATCACAGGTGTGGATGTTGGTGTGAACGGTTCTTTGTCTCTAACCCTGACCCTGTGATGGACTGGAGGACTGTCCAGTGTGGAACCCAATTATGGCTGGGATCGACCTCAAGCCACCTTTGACCTGAAATAGGGTTAAAAAGAAGCTAAATGAATTAAGATTAAAAGTATTCGATTTTAAGAGATTATCAATCAATGTCTTAGCTAACCCTTACATTAAAAACAAAATCTATTTCAATGAGTTCCTTGTCAGTGTCTAATGAAACAGGCTGTCGATGTTCATTAGTTTCTGCTTTGAAAACAGCAGTAAAACAAGACAAAAAAGTGTCTCTGCATCAAACTCAGGGGAACAAGCGTTGGTGTGTCCTTCACTACAACTCGTCCTTCTCCACCCTCTCTCCATTCACCTAAAAGAGGACAACCGCTAAGGGCTATGGAGCTTTGACGACCTTGTGGACATCTGCTGATGGGACACACACTCATCCAAGGACCACACAAACACACTCACAGGAGTGTGTCAGTCAAGTAAAGGTTGAGGAACGTCCAACCTTGAAGGACTAAATAAATAAATAAATAAATAATTGATATAAGGCAATGGGTGAGTACTAAAGTACCAAAAACACAATGTTGTCTATTTGAGATTAAATATTTTTTCCAGCTCATCTGTTCTTGAAACATGTGAGGATATTAGTCAATTTATCAACAATTATTATAATTAATAAATTATTAATTTATTTATGTATTTCTTCATTGAAAAAAATGATTTTGCTTTAGTTTTCCCAAGAACACATTAGCGTGTAGACCAGAGAACAACAATGTTAGCATTGTCATGTAGACAAATCAGTAGGCGACCAATCACCTTCGAGTATGATTTTGTTTTTACTTCAAACAAGTGTTCAACTCCAATTAGCTGTTTTGGAAAGCCACAAAATTTGCTGCAGCAGCAGCAGCAGCAGCCAACGGGCCACTGAACGTCTCCCCCAACGATCTACTGGTCCCCTGAGACGGAACTTCAAGAAGAGAACCGTTGCTGTTATTTAAACTTTGAGCCAAAATAAATGAGCTCATTATCAGTTTGAACCAATTTCAGCTCTGAGTTGGCAGCACGTTAGGAGGGAAGTGTCCGACCACATGCAGGGAAAACCCCATTAGAGCTGCAAGAAATGGACCTGAGTTACAATCAGACATCAGAGGAAGACTTTGTGAACTTTGGGAGGAGTGAAAGTGACACAGTGCATGATGGGAAGTCCATGACCGGTATGTAGAAACCCAACCCTGGGGAAAGATAAAGATCTGCAGGCCGCTGCGCTGCACCATCAGCTGCAATTAGTATGTCATCCACTAACAAGGAGCGTTAGAGAGACTCTATGACTTCATGAGCGTGTGAGTGTGTGTGTGTGTGTGATCATTAGGGAACAATAGAAAGTCTATGAGCTCCTCTTGCCACTTGTAGCCCTGTCAGACAGAGAACCATTCAGTAGAGGGCAGTAAATGACACTTTGGACACCGGCACACACACACTAACACACACCGAGTGTTGGTGAACAGTCACATGTCAACACTGTACATCATCACTGCAACTCTAACTGGATCACTGCACATGATGAGAGCACAGTAGAACCCCCCACACCCCCGCCCTACCCCAGAACACCAGCTCCTCTTCCTCTGTACCCGTGCCTCCTCCAGTGCAGATCTATCTTTTTATTACAAAAATCAGAAAAACGCTTTTAAAAAAGTGCTAAAAAGAAAAAGTGTTAGTAGTTGGAGTTCCAACTACTGTGGCCCCGCAGCAGGTTTACTGTTAGGGGTCACAACATCTCTGCACACATTTGTACGTCTTTGTGTTTAAAAAGGACACAGACCTGGACACTGAATGGAGAGGTTTTCTTCTCTAAAACAGAAAGGACCAAAACAAGCTGCTAACATCACGTCACACCTACAGCTGGTTCAGGTCCCACAAGGATATATTTTTAAGCACTGCTCTGTTTTCTGTTGTTCTGTTCTGTTTGTATTTTATAGTTAAGGGAAAGAAGATGAAGCCAAAACCAAACATGTTACATTACAACATGATTAAACTGTGAAGTCGACAGTAGTTAATGATCAGAAATAAAGGATGTTTTTTTCCACAACCTGGTCCAGGACCACCCGTTACTACAGACTGGTACCAAGGTGCTGAGCATTAAGGATCATTACATTTTCAGAATAAAACATATTTTAAACTCTCTTCTGTTTGTATCACAGTCTGAATGACATATTATTTTTAAAATATTTCCAGAATATCTTTAGAAAATGGATATGACGAGAAACAGAAATGGGGAGAAATATTTCTGTGGGATTCTCAGTACTGCTGCAGGTATTACTAACATGTAGAGTACAGAACTGTACAAATACTGTACAAATACTGTACAGATTCTAATCTTTACATTCAGTCTGTTGTCTCTGTCAGTACCTTCAGACAGTCCTGCCTGTATAACTCCATCTGGTAAAGACGTCATCATGTCTATAGAAACCTCTAGTATTAAACAGAGTTGTAGAATAATGAGTGGATTATTCCTAGATAACTCATGTCTCCATAACAACAAAGCACAAAATAATGAAAAGCCTTTTATATTAAAGTATGGAGAAGAGAGCAGAAATGTTTTGGAGGAACATCTCTGGACCAGTAACCACTACTGCACTTAGAGCACTTCCAAAATTAAACAATGTGAAACACGGAGAATGAAACTGAGAAATTGGACTGAACCTAGTCGTCAATGTGATCTAGCGCCAAGAAGAACTAATCAGCAGATGGTTGATGGCATCCACCCAGCAGAGGTCATTATTCAGAGTGATGACGCGTCTGAGCAGAAGAAAGAAAGAATTCTCCTCCGTTCAACCAGGTCCATATCTCCACGTCCATCTGACGGCGTCTGGAGCAGGACGGAGGTTTCAGAGGTTTGGGACTCTGGATGTCAGGATGTCCCGGCCCATATCTGCATGAGCTGCACACTTTAACCTCAGCCCTTATTAGAGCACAAAGAACTGTTGAGCTGAGCTCCCTCACAGGATCAGGGTCAGAGGTCGGAGTGAAGGCTGGACTGTTCCTCTCATGGCCGGACTCTGGACCGGTCACAGCTGGACCAGAGGAGTGGACATGGACACACAGCAGAAACGTCTCTGAGGTGTCCAGACCTGATGGCTGTGTTTTTGATCTGACTGGTTGGACGTTGGTCAGTTTACAACTCTACAAATCCAAGATATTTCCTGTACTAACAGTGTACCCCCGACCACCCACCCTGACCCGTCACATTCACAGATATCCCTTCAAATATCCACTCTATTAAAAAACTGTAATTCCTGAAACACTGTAGTTCTCATTTAACAAAAATATAAAATTACAAATCAGTGGAAGAAAAATTCATATTGAAATGCTGCCCCTGGAAAGCTCCACTACGGGAACCGAGATGTGTAAATCACTGCAAGAGTTCAGAGTGAAGAGTTAATATAAAATAAATATAGATAAAAACTATTTTTAATATGATTATTATTTTAGGCTGAAGAAAAATAGAGAGAATTTTTGAAGATGTACTTCATTCGCTGAGGAAATTGTAGAAACAGTTTCCAAAGCTAAAAGATTTTTTTCCCTCTTAAACTTGCTTCCAACTAATAGATAACAATCACGTGTCTGAATATTAGCAGTAGTTAAACTGATTTTAATTTTAGATTACTATTAAACAAATGTTTACCAGACTTAGTGCAAAGAGAAATGGTGAGGTGGGGAACATTCTCCCTCTCCAGACTGGAGTTCTGTTGGGATCTGACTCTGCACAAATGCACAGCAAACATGAAAATAAACCCAGAGCCGCACACAGCACACAGCACACAGCACTGCTGCAGTGCTCGGTCCAACTCCAGGCTCTGCTCAGCGGCAGCACAGCGGGAGGAGAACATCAATTTCACTTCCATCCTCCACCGTTTTCCTCACAGCAGCTCCGTGTCTGCGCTCAGCGCGCACTTGTCTCACTGCGTCAAATAAAAACAAACAAGCGGCGGAGCGGCCATCCCGTCATGCACACACTGGGCTGTTAGCTCGACGAACAGAAACGACCCGAGGCAGAGCCGCAGCATCAGCACCACCAGCACAAAGAGAGGTGGAGGTCTGTTTACCTGATCGTCGGCTCCGCGCGCAGTGGAGACGCGTTGCCACGGAAGACGCTCGGGAGGCGGAGAAAATGATGCTCGACACGTCGGTGTGATGCTGAGGATCCAGGTCCAGATCCGGGAGGAAGACGGTCTGTGCTGCTCCTCCTCTGTCGAGTCAGTGTGTCGTGGAACGGTAACAGCCTGCCTCTCTCTCTCTCTCTCTCTTCCTCTCTCACCCCCTGGTTCTTTCCATCACCTTCTGTCCTTCCACCTACGTCAGAGCAACCACGGCAGAGGTGGAGGCACTTCCGCTCTCTCTTTCCACAAAATAAAAGCATCTAAACTGACGCTCGTTCAGGGTTTTTTTTCTATTATTAATTAGAAACTAAGGGGAGTTGGGGGTGGGGGGAAAGAAGAAGTCAGGTCCATCCAGTCCTGAATATGATCAGGTATGTTCTTCATACCCTATAAAATTCATTGTATTGTTTCAAAATAATGTGGTTTGGTTTATTTATTAATTAAAAAACGCAACCGACAGTGGATGATTCTAGTGTGTGTGTGTGTGTGTGTGTGTGTGTGTGTCTCCATCCTTCAGAGACGAGGCCTTTCAGGGTAACCCAAAGGTCACCGTTACGGTCAATCTTTTATTTTGAAGGGGAAATTAAGAACAAACTGCCGGCGGTTCCCCCTCCACTCCAGCCTCCCCTTTAGACTGAGAGGCGGCACTTTACATTTCCTTTTGTTGTGGGGAGGATATGACAGTGGGGGGCAGGTGCTGCCTCCCCCTCCAAACCCCCCACTCCCCTGGGAACACTGAAAGACCTCTCCAATTAAATGCTGCAGGCTGACAGCCTGGGCTGAAGTCCCACCGTCCTCTGAGTAATTAGGCTGAAAACACCACCGTAGCTCTTATTATTTCAGGTAAAAAAACAAAACAACACACATTAGTTAATAATGAATTACCAACATCACCTGTGGTCCGTATGGAGGGTCTGTTTGGAGAAGTAATTTGTCCCAAAAGAAGTTTGTAATTATTTACGATCTCACTGAGATCAAAAAGAGCACAGCTGACCACACAGCCAATCAAAACACATCCACATACAACAATGTCTCCAACCCGCAACAAAAACAACAGCACACGTTCTTCATTAGACAAAAATGTTTTCGTTCCACATCCGTATCCCCACACAGAAAATGTTAGTTTGGGGTCTGGACCTACTGGTGGTTTCAGAGTGGGGGGCGTGGCCCATTTAGGGGTTGCAGGGCAGAACAAGGTAACGATTTACAAAGTCAATATTCTGGACCTACTGGTGGTTTCAGAGTGGAAAACAGTCCTAAACACAAAGAGGGGGCGCTGCAGGAAAGGTTTTATAGACCACTGGGTTTGTACACAGTACAGTAACATAAATCTATAAACACTGAAACACACAAACAAACGGCTGGAAATATAATCTCTCTGCAGCACAGACATGTCCTGCTGTCAGTGTACTGGTGAGGACAGTGACAGTTCTAGGCGTCTGCTGTGGGAACATAGAGTCTACTGTTGATGTTCACACTGACCAGAAGGGGTGCTGAAGAGTTGATTTGTTGACCCTCTGATCATGAACTGTTTTCCTGTTCTGACAGTAATGTATGTCTGGACCAGTAACCAGCACCAGCTCATTTGAATATTTTCATCTTTTATCCTCATGGTCATTAAAGATGAAAAGGCAACAGAAAGGGTGTCACCAGACGGGGGGGTGGGGGGGGGAGGAGGGGGGGGCACAGCAACAGACGGCGGGCACGGCCGACATCATCAGACTCTGGTTAATTGGTGATTTCACAAGTCCCATTGTGGAGACCGATGGAGACACAATTAGTCAACAGTAAAACCAGTGCCACCTCTGCTGCTGCTGCTGCCGCTGCTGCTGCTGCTGCTGCTGCTGCTGAATGAATGGAGCTCGAGAATAATAATAATAATAATAATTTATCCACTTTGTGTGACTGGGAGGAGCCAAACAAATCTGCAATCTGACTGAGTATCTGAGTATCTATCTAATATCGTAGTAGTAGTGTAGTGTATACCACGTATACCACAACACAGACCAGAGCTGGGTATCAGAGCAGCGGCATCAGCAGGATCACAACTT